TTAAATTATCTTTTGTTTGCTTTTCAGTGAAGATTTTCAATATGTTGTGTGCGCTGTATTGGATGATGAGATTCAGCGAGCTCTCGTGTGAACATAAAGTGTGATTACAGGGTTTGACATTTTCATAACAGAAATGATATGACTGAGTAGAAGATTTCTTGGAACACATAATCACATTGACATGTTAAACTGTTGCTTTTGAGAAAAAATGTTTGGCCTCCAATGTTTAATGTATAATTTAGGATGAAACCTGAACCCAGTCGGTTTCAAATTAGCATGTAACAAGCTGAAGTGCAGACCATGCTGCCCACAATTTTGGTATATCATGGCTAGCAATGTATGTGCCCATCAATTATGACTCTGTTTAGGATAAGACCAAAAAAAGCAGTGAGCTGAACTGTCCTGCTGCCTCGTGTCTTCTTTTGTGCTGTCTTCTGTTCCTTTTGTTGACCCACTTGGCTTATATCATGAAGGCAAAGGAAGACAAAACAATACAGTAATCTTATGGTAAAGAGTCAGAATCGGAAGAGAGAGAAAGGAGGAAGCTAGGAATTTCCGCACAATAAACCAGAGCTGCTTAAGCTAGCGCCAGATGTTGCCTTTTCTGCCTAATGGGCCACAGATTGGTAGAATATTGTGCCCATTGGCGATAATCTTTTATTTCCTGGGAACTCTACAGAATCCTGCAGCTAATAACACATGGACCATCATTGGTCCATGGACCATTATTTTCAGCAGCACTGCAACATTGCCAGCAGCACCGGAACAGAGTATGTTTTATCAATGGCAGTTATATATAATCGTTAGCTACAAATATGGTACCTCCATGTGCAGAGGCAGTCTAATCCCAGGTGCTAGGAAGTAAACAATAGAGCATTTGTATTACTTCTGGGTCTTGTTTTGTGATTTTCTCAGAGGACCACTTGTAAAAGTGCAGAATAAGATTTTAATTTTGTTCAGGCTGCCTCAAAAAGCAATTGGATAAATTGCTGGCCCTTTCCACCCCACCCTGTATCATATTACAACTTGCTTTTGACCCTCTGCTTGGTTTCAAAAATAGCTTGCCACTAGTATATGTGTCTGTGCAGTGGATGGTAGGAGGCTTTTGACAGAACAAGTTGAGTGGTTCTTGGGATTGTGGCCAAGGTTCTGGTCTTGATGAATCAGTGATCTGATCCAAGTAAGGCACTGAGTATGTCTTTGAAACCTTTTGGCAGATGCCAGAATCGAAACAAACCTATTACCATTATCTACAGTGTTTTAAACTTGCAGTCATTGATGTTTTCAACACATGTGGCAAACGTCAGCTTTGAGTATATATGCCTATTTGAAATAGAACTTCTAAAGAGTTTCCAAAGTGAGTCAGTTGTAACACAATACACAGAATCCTCTAAAAAGCTGAAGGAAAACAAGAGACTTGCAAGTAACATCTTTTTATAGTCAGCAAACCACCTTCCTGAGTGGATAAATGGATTGGAAAAAACAGGGCAGGGGGAAACAGTGTGAGTTCCTTTTGAAAGTGTGTGCTTCTAAAGTGTATATACTATGAGGAGAAATGAAGATGACAGTGTGACTACATTCCTCATAATAGCATTGTTGATGCAATTGTAAAAAATATGTCCTTCCCTTGAAATGGAAAACATTGTTATTTATTTATTTAATACATTTGTACCCCATCCTTTTCACCCCCGAGGGGGGACTGTTGTATTTCTTTAATAATGCAAATATAGTATGACCTCTACCCACTAAGTGCTCCGGGTGATCCTCCTACAGTGGATATATCTCAGAGAATTTTCTAGGTCCTATTCATTTTAATAGGGTTCACTATTATCCACGATTCCATGGTAAGTTCAGGAATTTATATCCCATATATATAAATAAAAATGTAATGTTCATTTGTGGGGTTAACATAACTCAAAAACCACTGGGTGAACTGACACCAAAATTAGACACAATATACCTATCAGGCCAACAAGTGATCATCACTCATAGAAACACTGAAAAACACAGCGGAAGAGACTTAAAAAGCCCAATAATAATAATAATAATAATAATAATAATAATAATAACAATAACAATAACAATAATTACAATGCATGCACAAAACCACATATATACAAATATATATACACACATATATACATACACAAAACACATATACACAGACTGGGGCACAGCAACTTGTGGCAGGGGATGGCTAGTTATATATACTGTAAACTATGTGGTTGGTGATCTTTTAGTTTCATATGTCTTACAAATAGAAGGATCATAGAACCCTTGCTTTTTTCAGTATGGCATGTGCAATATGGTCTAATGGTCGAAGTTTTTGACTAGACTTGCAGAATTCTTGGAATTCACTATTATTATTATTATTATTATTATTATTATTATTATTATTACTATTAACTTTATTTGTACCCCGCTAACATCTCCTGAAGGACTCAATGCGGCTTACAAAGGCCAAGGCCTCAATAAAACAACAATACAACAATACACATAAACCATAAAGCAAATCAAAACATTAAAGCAATAACAGTAAACAGTAAAAACAGTACACCATAGTACACACTATGTGATCTTGGGTCACTTTCTGTCATCACACTGTGGTGAAGACATATGGAGTAGTAGGAAAGATATGCAGATTTTCTTGAACTCGTTGAAAGAAAGGTACAATATAAATGTAACAACTTATCATCATAAATGTAAGGGGGAGCAGTATATCTAATACAGGATTAGGTGATACATTTGTCAAATGTGGAAACGAATGATTGTTTATTGGCTGTCTTGCTTTCTGAGTACTCATAATATCAGTCCCAATACTTCTGATAGAGTACACTGCTGGATTAAAGCACTATGATTCACTTTCAACTGTTTGTGATTGCATCCCAAGGAATCCTAGTGTAGTTTGGTGAGATACTTGAGCTCTCCAACGGAAAAGTCTTTAATGCCCGTTCCTAAACGACAAATCCCAGGATTCCATAGAATGTTCCCGTGTCAGTTGAAATGGAATCATAGCACTGTAATTATGTAGTGTGAAAAGGCCCCAGGACTGCTGGAGAGTTAACAGTACAACTAGAATTCTGTTGAGATTCCAGTTAGATGAATAGGAGCAATTAAGTTATTTGGGAAAGTAGTTATGAGGGGAGCTATGGTTAACTTAACAAAGTAATAATGATCAAGTAGCTACCACAGCTATTGTGGTTTTCAAGAGTGACTCCTCTTCACAACCTGGCCAAGTTATGACAGCATGTGTTCTTAGAAGACATCTAACAACATGTAGGAATTTTGAGGAAGAAAATGAAAATTTCTGTTGTTTTTAGGGGGAAAAGTGAGGGGTTTTTTGTTTTGTTTTTTTGTTTTTGTTTTTTGCTGTGGCCAAAATCTCTTCAGATTTAACATTAAGTCTCAGAACCTTTGAACCACAGGTTTGTGGCCTGGGGGGAAACCACTAATATAAACACGGCGAAAAAAATCAATCTCTTATCAAGACACTGTAATAATCAGATCTTTTTATGTGCTTTCATTTCATCAAAGGCGCGTGTTCTTAAAAGCTACTTTCATGATTTAATACCTGCCTGAATCTTTTTGACAAAGAACTTTCAAGTCATGTATACTCTGTTTCTTGAAGGAAAGTATTTGTGGATTATTTAAAACTGTTACATTTCTATTTTGGGATGTTGACAGGAATGAGCACATTGATCATGCTGACTCTTTTGTCAGATGTATATTGAACTTAAGAGGAAATTGGTGAACTGATAACTATTTAAAATTCATTTTAAGCTTTGTTAAAAGAATTTACCTTATCTAAGAGAAGTTTGTTAAGTTTGGCATCTGTATATTGTTGCACAATTGAGTGATTTCTGTGGGCTGCCCCGAGTCCCTTCAGGGAGATGGTGGCGGAATACAAATAAAGCTTTATTATTATTATTATTATTATTATTATTATTATTATTATTATTTGAAACACAACAAGATTAGGACACAGCAAACAAGGTCACTATGCTAGTTGTTGTATTGGATCATACATCGGACACTTCTCAAGTGTCTAGGACTATGTGATGTATCAGCGAATAATGCGTGCTGATCCCTGTAGAGTGGCCTTTTGCAGCTGATAGATGGTAATTTTGTCAGTGGCGATTGTGTTTAAGTGCAGGCCAAGGTCTTTAGGCACTGCACCCAGTGTGCCAATCACCACCGGGACACCTTGACTGGCTTGTGCCAGAGTCTTTGCAGTTCGATCTTTAAATCCTCATATCGTGTCAGCATTTCCAGTTGTTTCCCTTCAATCCTGTTGTCAGCTGGGATTGTAACATCGACAATCCATACTTGGTTTTTTAACACGATTGTGAGGTCAGGAGTATTGTGCTCCAAAACTCTCAGTCTGAATTTGGAAGTTCCAAAGTAGCTTAATGTGTTCATTTTCTGTAACTTTGTCAGGCATGTGATCCCACCAGTTCTTTGTCGCAGGCAGATGGCATTTGTGGCACAAGTTCCAATGAATTTGAGCAACGGTGTTATGCCTCTGCTTGTAGTCTTAGGACTTTTGATAACTATACATACATAAACAGTAAAATTTATTGCAACAAACAGTTTAAACTCTAAAAATGTGTATGTGTCTATGTGAGTACATAAAATTCATGTTACTAACACTTAGCTAACATGCGTTGATTGAGTTATTTTATGTCCCACCTTTCTGTCAACCTGAGATTTCATGGACAGTGTGACCCTGTTCAGCACGAGCTGAATCCCTGTTCCCTGCCCTTCCTCTCAACTGTGTTTTGTATGGATTAAGCATCACTGGTATAGAAGAAAAACAGCTTTCTTTGAGTTGGTTGGAAACCCTCATGGTGATACTGAACATCAAAACTTTGGAAACCTTTCCCAATGGGTTCACATTATGTTAAATAGCATGAGAAGCGAAACTGAATACCTGGAGTTGTGCGGATACCATATTGTATAAATGCCAAATCATCAAATCCTGTGTCCTCATTCTTTTTCAGACTTACATTGGTTCCATAGTTGCCTCCGTAAACCCCTACAAAGCCATCCCTGGCCTCTACGACCGCACCACTGTGGAAGAATATAGCCGACATCACTTGGGAGAAATTTCACCTCATATTTTTGCTGTTGCCAATGAGTGCTACCGCTGCCTATGGAAACGCCATGACAACCAATGTGTTCTCATCAGGTACCTCACAGCTGCTTTAATTACTTCAGCCTTTGTTCTTGAATATTATTTTTTTGTGGAGATTGGGAGGGCAACACATTAGCAGAAATAAGGAAATAAATTAAGAGGGCATGTTTTCCTCCTTTCCCCTGTAACTCTGAAATTGTGATATATTTGAAAATGCTATCCTTAATAATTTCCCTCTTTTGAATGGCAAGAGTTCATTCAATGTATATATACTGTTGTCATATAATCTATCTGTTTAATTATCTGTCTACACATCACATATTCTGGTTATGACGTATTCACATAGACCTCATTTCACTCTGATTTCCCCACTAGGTTTTGTCTTGTTGTGCTGCAAATTAATTTGTCACCACTAGTCTTGAATGAGCATGTCCATCCAAAAATGGAAAGAAAGACCTTTAGAAAGCTTATAAATAAAAACATCAACAATTAAAGCTCTTGCCTGTGCTGGTTGGCTGAATCTGCTTGTCTGAACTTGATTGTTTCCGCTGTTGTTTCTCTAAACTGTATTTCCATTAAATGAGGATAAAATAATTTCCAAGGTCATCTCTGGTGTTTGGTGGTGTTCTGAGTAGTGCGGCTTCAGTGATTGTGTATTACTAGCGATCAGAGATCCTCTCCTCCTGTGTTGCCTTCCTATTTCTCTTCCCAAGTGCCCTGCTATCCCCTGATCTCAGTGTAGGCCCATATAGTTGAATTCAGCAAGGTTAAACTACACTACACTGACCATATAAATGCAAACTGCATTATCCAGACCATATCACATCACAAAGCCTCGCATCACAATGACCAGTGCTAAAGGAGAGAGCAGTATAGTGCAAGCTCAGCTTTTGTGCTTGCCATTATTCTTCCTAGAAACTAATTTATCCCTGTTTTTGTTGGCTGGACAGGGTCTTTCCCTCAACTGCTAAATCCCTTTGTTATGCTGTGCTATTTGACTACAGAGTATTCAAATTTGATTGTCTGGGAGCCGAAGTGTATATTTATATAGCCAGTGTACGTTTCCAAACTTTTGTTCAAAGCTGCAAAACATTTTGAGGAAGGAGTACTTTATAGAAGAAATGCAGGAAACCGGAGAGGGCATATTTAGCCTTCTGCTGTTCTTCCAGTGCTGCATCTGTGACTAGGATTTGTTAATGAAACCTGGCAATCTGTCATCTAGTTCCACTCTTAGATTTTTAGGCTTCTAGCTGAGGAGAGGCTGAACAGGTTCAATTGCTTTAACTGTAATCTTTTTGACTCTCTAAAAACTTACCATATAGTTCAATCTACAGGTTTATTTTAAAGTACAGCTTCTTTTTTTACATTCATATTTTAATTAAAATATAATTAATATATGTATTACATCGATACGGAATAGTATATACATACTTCAGTTGTGGGGCTTTAGCACAGCAGGTTAACCCCCAGCTGCAGTAAACCTTGCCAACCGAAAGCCCGGGTCAGGGTGAGCTCCTGGCTTTTAGCCCAGCTTCTGCTTACCTAGTAGTTTTAAAAACAGCAATGTGAGTAGACAAATAGGTACCCTTAAGCGATAAGGTGTTCAAGGCACCCATAAGGAAATGCCAGAAAAAATGCCGGCAATTCAATCAAAGAGAAAGTTTACAAACAAAGCTCTTCGGCACGGAAAGTGGAGCGACAGCACCCCTCCTTCCCCTGTGGCTGGAACCGAGCACAGCCTCCAAGATGCCGAAGATGGGAAAGCCTATATATACACCTCTATGTATGTAAAGTTATCTGCCTTGTCAGTGTATAACGGCATTGAATGTTTGCCTTATATGTGTGTTCTGAGTCCCCTTCGGGGTGAGAAGGGCAGAATATAAATACTGTAACTAAATGTCTTTTAAGTGGAATATGAGAAAACAATTCTAGGGAAGGTAGCACTGTCTTTCTAATGTTTCTGAAAAAAAAGTCACTATTCCAATGTACCATGGGAAATTTAGGGAAGGATACCAAAATATCATATCTAAAATTAAAAAAAGAGATTATTTACAGGCAATCCCAAAGTTACAAATATTAGACTTACAAATGATTTATAGTTAAAAATGGGTGTAAGACAACAGAAAGTGAGAGAAATCTTCCCGCTGAAAGAATTATAATGGGGGAAAACTGTTTCCATTGAAGCTTCATCACCAATCCTTGTTTTCAGCAAGCCATTTTTTTTTCAAAATCCAGTGATCACAGGGGCAGAAGGTGAGGTAAAATCTTCTAATCAGGGGCACAGGCAGCAGGACAAACACCATGGGGGTGTTAACCCTTCCCTGTTCTACCCAAGGCTAAAAAATATGTATTTTTGGCTGGAGGTAACACCTTAAAAATTATCTGTTCCAACTTACAAACAAATGTAACTTAAGAACAAACCTACAGACCTTATCTTGTTCACTACTTGGGGGCTGCCTGTAAATTGGGAATTATAGAATTTCTGGAAAGCATCTTCGATATTATGGCTTGTCTAGATTACATTGGTCTTGTATCACTGAAGACATCTGTTAGATATAGTGGCAATTTATTATGGGTACTCCTCTATTTATTGTATTAGAGTCTATGGATCGGACTAAAAGGCATTCACCTCAATACACAGCAATGCATTGTGGGTTGGGGTGGTGGGGTAGTAATCACCAAACCAGATGAATTAAGGCAAAGCAAGTTGCTGCAGAGAAGAGGTGTAACTATAAGTAGGATAGATCCCTGGCAAAAAAAAAAAAAAGATGGGTGTGGGACAAGATCCTTGGAACTGTCAGATTCGTGCAGTTTCTCATCACAGAGACAGCAGGAAATCCTTTCGACATTAGTCACGTTTTTGGCAATGCGTGATGAAAGCCGCTGCGCTGTGCCAAATACAGTAGGAACTGCATGTCTTTCGGCATTCTCTCATCTCTGTCCAGTGACAGTTATGATCATGGGTTGTACTCTTGGCTGTTATGAGTTCTAATAAAAATAGATAACTTGGAGTTTGTGTTGCTAGTGTGATTGGTTGCCTTCTCTTCTCACTCTGCTGCACACTGGCGGAGCTGGGGAAAGGGCCAAGTACACTGGCTGCTTCTTACCTTCTTTTATTCTAAATGAAATTATTCTGGGACATAAGAGTATTAAATGTTGTTCTTGCACAGATTCTTCTTTTTTGTTCTTTCCTCTCATTTGAGCTGTATCAGGAATATTTGAAAACACTTTGAATTGATAGGATTTTTTAAAGGTTAATTCCATGCCTGTATGTTGGTTAAATGGAATAAGTAAGAATACTATTATCTAGAACAGAATCCATCCCATTGCCATGAGTGGGTAGGAATAATGCTGCTGTTGAAGGCTATTATGGCTGAAATCACAGGGTTGCTGTGAGTTTTCCAGGCTGTATGGTCATGTTCCAGAAGCATTCTCTCCTGACGTTTCACCCACATCTGTGGCAGTCATCCTCAGAGTTTGTGAGGTCAGTTGGAAACCAGGCAAGTGAGATTTATATATTTGTGGAAGGTCCAGGGTGAGAGAAAGAATTGTCTGCCTTTCAAGTTCCTTGATTCATGTTTGGGTGCTGTGTTTGGCACTGCAGACTAATTCAATCAGAGAAATCAGCAATAGCAGAGCACCCAATGGACCAACCTGGTCACAGCATATTATTTGAGAACACAGAAATGCTGGACCACTCTAATAACACCATGTCAGACTGCACAGAGAAGCCATTGAAATCCACAAGCATTTGGACAATTTCAACAGAAAGGAGGAAACCATGAAAATGAACAAAATCTGGCTATCAGTATTTTTAAAAAGTCTTAAATCAAGACAGTAAATAAACAGGAATACTAAAAAAAAATGGAAATTCCTAACATGAAACAATCAGGGCCAGCTAGCACCTCCTAACAAAGGATTCCCCCAGGCAAGAAGTAGCCAGGCTTTGAAACTGCAAGGCCATTAAATGCTAATCAATGTGGCCAATTGCAACATTCACACTTGCCTCAAGAAGACAAGAGTAGTTCTGTCACCCTGGACTTTCCACAGATATATAAATCTGTGGAAAGTCTGTACGGTATACAAATATGGTAAATAAATAATAAATAAATATAAACCTCACTTGCCTAGTTTCCAAAAGATCTCACAGCCTCTGAAGATGCCTGCCATAGACATGAATGAAACGTCAGGAGAGAATGCTTCTGGAACATGGCCATACAGCCCAGGAAACTCACAGCAACCCAGTAATGCTGCTGTTCACACCCAAGTTTTCAGATACAAAACCAAGGAGTTTTAAAAGGGGTGGGAGCAACAAATCATTCTTTTAAAAGAACTTAGTTTGATGTCTGTTTTAATTTAGTTTTTTAGTGATTCCACTTTAACGACCAGGGCTGCGTCGCATGGGATCTTGTGTTTTCCAGTTTAGGAAGGCAGAGACTGGATTCCATCGGATGGAAGCATTGTTTTTATAGTGGAATCATAGTGCTTTGAACAGTTCTGTGAGAAAGCCGTGGCTTACCTTGATCAGTATGCACCATTTTACCATTCTAAGATGTTGTGAGGGATTACTGTACTAACTTTGTATTTGTCTTGTTTGTAGTTCATAAAGATAGTATGAAACTTTTTGAGCACTATTTTTGTAGTTTTGTTTTTTGAAGGCATCACACGCCCTCTAGTGGATTGCCCAGTTATTTCTTGCTTTGTGTGGTCCCAGGAATCTGAATATAACATAGAGTGACTGTAATATATATGTTTTCTTCAACTAGAAAAAAATGGGGAGTGTTCCATAATAAATTCCTTTACACTTTAAACAGATAGATACTAATACAGTATTGATGGTCATGTGGGTTCTGTGTCGACAATTTGGTCCAATTCTGTCATTGGTGGGGTTCAGAATGCTCTTTGATTGTAGGTGAACTATGAATCCCAGCAACTACAACTCCCAAATATCAAGGTCTGTTTCCCCAAACTCCACCCGTGTTCTCATTTGGGCATATAGAGAATTCGTGCCAAGTTTGGTCCAGATCCATCATTGTTTGAGTCCACAGTGCTCTTTGGATGTAGGTGAACTACAACTCCAAAACTCAAGGTCAATACCCACCAACACCTTCCAGTATTTTCTGTTGGTCATGGGAGTTCTGTGTGCCAAGTTTGGTTCAATTCCATCATTGGTGGAGGTCAGAATGCTATTTGATTGTATGTTAACTAGAAATCCCAGCAACCAGAACTCCCAAATTACAAAATCAACCCCCTCCCCGCAACCCCACCAGTACTCAGATCTGGGTGCATCGGGTATTTGTGCCAAAATTGCTCCATTGGATGAAAATATAGCCTGCATATCAGATATGTACATTACAAGTGATAACAGTAGCAAAATTACAGTTATGAAGTAGCAATAAAAATAAGGAACTGTATTAAGGAGTTGCAGCATTAAGGTTGGGAACCACTGCTCTAGGTCCTCCAGCACAGGTCTATGGTCAGCTTTTGGCAGAAGTTGAGCATAGAGTCGCACTAAAGGATTTAAAAAGAAACCACATTAATGAAATCTGCTAATAATCACATCCTCAAAAGTTAAACTTGCAAATGTGGAGGGCCGACTTCAGTGATATATTTGTAAGTCAACTCTTATACAAATACTGATGATTCAGTGAGAAGGCTTGGATTTGGACTTACGGATAGGACCCAGGCCTCTGCATGTTGCTAAGCGCTTTGAAACAAAGCCATTTTATGACAGAGCATACTGGCAACTCTTCCTCTTGCTTATGAGAATTTTTTTATAATTGCTACTAGCAACTCAAGGTGAAACCTGCAACCCCTCAAACTGAATATTACAGTTTTAACATTCTGGTATAAAACATGTAATATGAAGAAAACAGGTCCCTCTCTCATTTCTGATTCTTTGTATGTAATGATTTCAAAGCAGCTGAAATTGTTGTGAATGTAGTCAAAGGAAAGGCTGTGTCTGAGTTGTGAAATTCATCTGCAATTGGATTTTTAGCTTTAGCATCTCCAGTTTAATAGACACATACATTGAGTTACCATTTGCACAAGCACCCAACTTCTGATGTAGAGATTTATTCAAGATGAAAGGATACATTTGACAAATATGTCAGCTGTTAGACCTTTATATTTCACCTATTGTGAGAGATAATACAGCCCAGGGACTGAACTGGAGTATGTTTGAAATATATTGATCTGTTGCAAACCAGAAAGGTGCAAAAATACCAAGGCTGAACTTTCACATCGCACTTTGAAATTAGTTTCTTTGCAGATGGTTTCAGCAACTCAAAAGGAGGAAGGCTTCTATTTTATCACAAGGCCTGACAAGGAAATTCTCACCCTCAACGCCAGCTATATTACTACTGAGGCATTCAGTACAACTCAAAACATTGTGTAGTCTTTTCTGTTCTTGCAGCACAGTTTGGAAAATGTACTTTTTGGAATGCAGCTGCCATCATTTCCCAGTTTGGTCATAGTCCAAAAAAGTTCACTCTGCAGTCCCAAAGAGTAATTTTCCTTGGCCCTGTCACTCCCTCAGTGCATCCCTGTACTGAGGACTGTTTGTGCTGGACAGTATGGTATAGTAATCACACAGAGATATATATTTATGTTACCCTTTATTCTCAATGCCATTGGCTTTATCAAAATTAGCGCCTCACTCACTGTTTATACATACTTGGCAAAGACCTATCCTGTCACTAGTCAAGCTTGGCCCTAACAGAACTACTCCATCCATAACGTGTTGGGTGATGTGTCAATTCATATAGTATTACTCTACCAAACAAGATTAGTAGACGACTTGATCATTCATTATGCAAAATCATGGTTTTCTGTTCTTCCAGGCAAAACTGTATCATAGTTCCCGGAAACCATGTTTGTGATTTATTTTATCCCATTTATCAAGCCATGATTAATGCTAACATAATGTTTTGGTAAATCCATTAAGGGTGAACATAAGATTTACAAATTATTTTTCTGTTTAATTCACTTACTACAATGGACTCTTGTAGTAACTAACACACACACATACACACACACACATATATATATAAAGTAAAGGTCTCCCCTGACATTAAGTCTAGTCGTGACTAGCCGTAGGCACCTCCAAGTCATGTGGCTGGCATGACTGCATGGAGCGCCATTACCTTCCCACAGAAGCGGTACCTATCTACTCACATTAGCATGTTTTCAAACTGCTAGGTTGGCAGAAGCTGGGGTTAACAGCGGGAGCTCACCCACTCTCCAGATTTGAACTGCCAACCTTTCAGTCAGTAAGTTCAGTAGCTCAGCGGTTTAACTCACTGTTCCACTGGGGACCCTACACACATATATAACAGTTAATTTATTATTATTTATTTCCGTCACTTTTACCCCGCCCTTCTCACCCCTGGGGGGGGGCTCAGGGCGGCTTACAGCGGAAGGCACAATTCGATGCCTTTGTCACATATACATACATATATAAACAAATTATACAGTTACAAATTAAAAATTAAAATCATCAATACACAATAATACAATAACACAGTAGTAGACTAATCCTGAGCTCAGCGTTCGGATTTTCGTAAGTCCATTCCGTCTCGTCAAGTTCCAGCTCGTCATCAGGTCTTTCTTTAGCTGCCAGGGTGTCCAAATGCCCGGTCCCATATCCAGGTTTTCAACTTTTTCCTAAATGAAAGAAGGGACGTTGCCAATCTAATTTCCCCGGGGAGGGAGTTCCACAGGTGGGGGGCCACCACCGAGAAGGCCCTGCTCCTCGTCCCGGTCAATCTCACTTGTGATAAAGGCGGGGTCGAGAGCAGGGCCTCCCCAGAAGATCTAAGGTTCCGAGGTGGGACGTAGAGGGAGATCCGTTAACAGCATTTCAAAAGCATCCAAAATATGGCAACTACCTGTTACATAACAAAAGTATTTCAATAAGAGTCAGTCACCAGTCTCTGGTAAGTTCTAATTTTTTAAAGATTTTTGGTATGAATCACTAATTAGTCTTATTGTGCTTTTGTATTCCAGTGGTGAAAGTGGTGCTGGTAAAACAGAGAGCACTAAGTTGATCCTCAAGTTTTTGTCTGCTGTGAGCCAACATTCACTGGAACTCTCTCGTAAGGAGAAGACCTCTAGCGTTGAACAAGCAATTTTGGAGAGCAGGTATTGCCATGGATGTCCCACATCAATTTGCAGAAGACAAATTAACAATTAGGAAAACATAATGAAGTAAGATATGCCAAAGCAGATGATATCTTGCTTAGCAATCAGGAAACAAAACTCTGCAGCACCTGGGAGTTGCAAATAGCCTAAAGCACTGCCCATCACTTTTGGTTTTCCAAATTAAACTGATAGTTTATAAACGTAAACTATTTTTGTTTCCCTGATGTATTTCACACACAAGTGTAGACTTCTGCATTTGCTAAACAGGTCATTTAAATCTCAAACACAAGATGCCTGTTTCTGTTTTATTTTTTTCCATAGCTAGACAAGCCACAAAACCGGTCATGGAAGAACTGGTTTTCGCAGTGGTCATCTCAATGGTTCTGGGAAGCTCATAACTAGGGCACAAAAACAGTAATTCACTGCAACTGGTATTCAGAAGCACATTGTGTGATGAGATCTTTCAATTAGTGTAATATATGAATGCAAACATACATATGACACAGCCAGATTATTCAGATGGCTTGGCTTGTTGGTGTAGGGAATGTCTGTGGTTATCCATTGATTACATAAGCCCCAAGTAATTTCTTTTTACCAACATACTGATTATGGAACCTGTGATTTTGCTTGCATGTTACATGTGTTTCCTTACATGTCCCTTACAGATGTTGTTCTTACATGCACATAATTTAGGATTAATTTATTTTACATTGCTAGGTACATGAAATTAGATTTTCTTTATTCAAAGAAGTTTGCATTGTAATTGCAATTTTCATAGATGAGTGAACATGACAAAAAGAGAGGAATTAAGAGTGCTGTGGTGGTCAAATCTTTTCACATCATCCTTGTACAGTTTAATAATATACCCGTATATTTGAATATAATCTGACCCAAATATAAGCCGAGGTACTTAATTTTACCAGAAAAAAATGGGAAAACTTATTGACTCAAGTATAAGCCAAGGGTGGGAAATGCATCAGCTCCTGGTAAATTTCAAAATAAAAATAGTTACCAATAAAATTTCATTAAGTAGGTTAAATGTTTTTGAATATTTACATAAAACTGTATTTTAAGATAAGAGTGCACAACTCTGGTTAAACCATTATTTTAACCTTCTTTAATGTAAATGTGCTTAAGTATCCTTCCAATAATTATAGAGTAAAATAATGGAAATATAATAATAACAATAATCGAGTAAAATAATAAATGTATTAATAAAAATAGTGTATAATAATAATAATAATAATAATAATAATAATAATAATAATAGTAATAATGGAGCAAAATAATAAATGTAATAATAACAGCAACAACAACATAGTAAAAGAATACATAACTTTGATTCGAGTATAAGCCAAGGGGGGCTTTTTCAGCCTAGGAAAAGGGCTGAAAACTCTGCTTATACTCAAGTATATATGGTAACTGGTCGGCACTAGCTCTTTCCTTTTACTGGGTTGGGAGAATGTGAATACCAGAGGTGATGGGGACAAGTAGACTAATGGATGTGATCAGATTTTAATTGTTAGTTTCTAGTGAAACTATTTATGGGTGGGATTACTGTTCCACCCTCTAAACTGTACCTTGATGAAATTTTATTTTAGTGCAATGTCTCAGACAGACTTCTCATCAATTATAAATCTTGCTAAATGTGTATTTAATGTTCTAGAAGACTTCAGATGAGGGTGGTTCATTACATGGAATGAACGTTAAAAAACAAAAACATTACAACTTTTAATTTTTTTAAAAAAAAAGTTTCAAGGTAAACACGAGAAAGCAACCAATTGGACTTTGTTTAAAGGCTACATGTCAAAAAGTAAAGGGCCTTGAAATTCAACTAAGGTGGAACAAGAAGGAGGATAATATTTTACTATATAAACTTAAGAAAACCACCAAGCCATGATGAAGAAGAATGGAAGTACAAAATTCCACCACCCCCCCCCCCCCCCCCCCCCGCAAACCCCGATTCTTCTCCTTTTTCCTATTATTCTTTTCCCTCACACGAGTCCCTTTCCCCTTTCTTGGTCTCATACCCATTCCCCTTCTCCTCCCCTCCTCAATGCCTGCAATTTTTCATCTTCTATGTCCAATTCATACTTTTGGTGTTTATGTTAATTTTCCCACAGTCCAATTATGGAGGCATTTGGCAATTCAAAGACTGTTTACAACAACAATTCAAGCCGCTTCGGAAAATTTATTCAGCTAAACTTCTGTCAGAAGGGCAACATTCAGGGAGGTAAAATAGTAGATTGTATCCTTTGTTTTTTGTGAGTGTTTTGTAACTGCATGTATGTTTAGAAAGCAAAGGGAAATCTGTCTATATTTCTGTCAACATTCCAGTAGTTTGGATAATCCCTTCTATCCCTTTGTAACAGAATGCTGTGCCTAAAGAATAGTGTTTACTTTTTAAAAATCTAGGTATTGCTTTTTCTGACAATTGTAAAACAATTTTTTTGCCAAGCAAGTTTACCATGAAATGTATATGTATTGTGTTCCCCTACCTCATACCAGTAGAACCAGTTTATTCCTTGACTCAGCTTTCTGTTACCTACAAAAGATTTATTAGAAAAGGTAAGAAAATATTTCTTTTTTCCTAACATTTTAAAAAAATAAACAGTTTTGCCAAGAATATCAATTATACATCACTAAACATATTTTCTCTCATAGAATCGAGTAGTAAGGCAAAACCCAGGAGAGAGAAATTATCACATATTCTATGCCCTGCTGGCAGGGATTGAGGGGGAAAAAAGAGGTGAGTGCTTTTTTTTTTTACTGAATAATTTTTAAAGTCGTTTGGCCCAATCCTTCTCAGAGATGATTCTACCTCCCATTTATGGTCCCAGACTTGTTAAATAACTAGATAATATGTGTACATGCATGTGTAAAAAAGAGAGAGAGAGAGAGAGAGTATAGTAAGTATAGATAATGAACACACACAGAGAGAAATAGAATAATATTCATTAGTTTGGTTCCTACATACTAGTGACACATGTCTGTTCCTCACTCCCTTTTCAGTCTCAAAAATTATGTCCTCATAAATAATAATAATAATATTTATTTGTATCTCGCCATCCTTCCAAAGGGTCTTGGGGCGGCTAACAAAGGCATTCCAAAGTGCAGCATATAACATAACATGGTACATAAGTATAAAACAATAACACAGAAAATTATAACAATAACCACTACCAACACAAATGACAAAAATTAAAATTGCTCAATTTTAAAACGTAGAACATCTGTAGATAAAACTACCTGCCAGCAACAATTCACAAATTAGAGTGCCAGAGTTTCAACCTCATGTAGACCCATTACAGCCTACTCAAGGTCAAAGGCCTTTTTGAAAATCCATGTTTTAAGGCTGGATCGGAGGGTGATGGCTGACCTAATATCTTTTGGGAGAGTATTCCAGAGCCGGGGAGCCACCACCGAGAAGGCCCCCTCTCTTTGTCAACCGTACTTGAGATGCTGGTGGGACCGAGAGATGGGCCTCCCCGGCAGATCTCAAAGCTCGCACTGATTCATAGAAAGAGATGCAATCTCAAAGATAGGTTGGGCCTAAAGCATATAAGGCTTTATAGATAATAACCTGCACCTTGAATTGAGCCCGGAAACTAGTCAGAAGCCAGTGGAGCTGCTTTAGTATGCTCCCTATAGCTTGCCCCAGTTAATAATCTGGCAGTTGACCTTTGGACTAGCTGCAGTTTCCAAACGTTCTTCAAAGGCAGCCCCAAGTAGAGTGCATAGTCCATTCTGGATGTAACTAAGGCATGGACCACCGTGGCTAAGTCAGGCTTTTGAAGGTACGGTTGCAGCTGACACACAAGTTTTTACTGTGCGAAGGCCCTCCTAGCCACCACCGACACCTGAGTTTCAAGCATCAATGATGAGTCCAGAAGGACACCCAGACTGCAGACTTGTGACCTCACAGGGAGTGTTGCCCCCTCGAGCACAGGTTACCCCTATCGGCCTCACGACTGACCACGAGGACTTCTGTCTTGTTTGGATTAAGCTTCAGTTTGTTGGCCCTCATCCAGTCCATCACAGCTGTCAGACACTGAGCCAGGATCCAGGGAGCTTCCTTAGAGTGAGGTAGAAAAGAGTAGTAGAGTTGTGCGTCATCGGCATAGAGATGACACACAATTCCACTTCTAGAAGAGGGAAATTCCTGCCAGTCCCAACAAACATGGCAAATAATAAAGGACTGTGTGAGGTATAGTCCAAAAGACTTGAGGATCAAACATTCCCCATCTCTAGCAGAAAATTTAAGTTGCAAAGTTTGCAGTCAGTCCATGTCTTTAAAAAGATGGGAGGAGGGGAGAAAGACAGACACATAGCATCAGGCATTCAGGAATAACGGGGGATAGCTTAACCTGTTTCTTGCCTATCTTTTTCCTCACTTAAAGTTTTTGACTTGAGCAGATGTGGTTTCATTGTTTAGGGATTTTGTGTACATTTCTTGTTTATGCAGACATTTGTTATTATTATTATTATTGCCTAGTGAAATTATCCATTTGTTGAAATACTGATCAAAGTAATAAATATATGTCAGACAAAGTGACAGGTGGAGATGTTTTATGTTACCTCTCTCGTATCTGTAAAGTAAGTTACCTTTCCATAATTTATATGCAATAACATGGCATCATTGCTTTCTCCTGTATCTAGATGCGTTTTACTTATCTGCACCAGAGAACTATCACTACCTGAACCAGTCTGGATGTGTAGCGGACAAGACAATCAATGACAAAGAAACTTTCAAAGAAGTCATTGTGAGTTTGGCAATGTCATTCTTTTCAGCATGGGTGGGGAAACACTTGCCTTAATCTCCATTCATCACACAGCATCTAGTGGAAGCTCCAGCACAGTCACAATCTGCCTTTCCTTCAGGAAACTCCATATGAATTGTTAGGTACCACTTCTTGGATGCACTCTGAGTGCCTCTGAAGAACAGCATCTTGTAGTTCACGCTTCCTTCCTCTCAGCCGGTTCCTTTAGGAAAAAGCTGGCAGAAGGAAGTATTGGATGCCGTTTCCACAAAGGACTTCCTTACTCTTGAAGCTTCAATTCCCCAAGGGATACAGAGACAAGACATGGCAGAAGGATAAGCAAAGGCACATATTCCAGGGATATGCTCCACCGCAGTTGACTTTTCCTGTTGTTCAGTTGCCTTCCTTAGGTCCCCTTTCTTTGATTTATATCTGTAAACAACATACAAAGTGAAGAAAGCATAACATTTATATCTTAGAAGCTTCCAGGACTGCCAGTTCAACTGCACTGTTTGGCTTAGAAGTACTGAAAAATAGACGTGGACTTTGAGCAACTTTCACATTTTGTTATTTTGGAGGAGGGTAATCCATTGTGAATAGCAGAGATATAAAATGTCCCCTAGACTCACTGTAGTTGTCTATTCTTGCTGTAAGTTAGAGGTGGATAGTTTCCTTTCACAGGCTGCACATTCCTGCCCCTGCCAATCACACATAAAAAGACAAAATATTTCCATTTTCTTCTGTAGTATCCTTCAAAATAGTAGCTGAAAGTCATGTTGCATTCCTTCCTGTTACCATTTTAAGATAGATTATAGGGGGAACAAGAAGCATTTTGAGGAGTGTGGGGTTTGCCTTTGTGTGCTTTTGTGTATTTGCCATGTGTCCTCTGTTGTTTTCTGGCAAAAATTGAATAAAATTCACAAAAAATAGGTTCATTCACATCTTACTGGGAATGAATCTCTGCGTCTGCAGCAGTATTGAGCAATATGGTATATAAACTGTGTCTTACAAATAGGTTATTTTATTAATTTAAGTCTTCCTCACCACTCATTCCCTGTATTAGCACTGGGACTGAAACAAAGTTATATGCTTCTGATTCCATGCCAAATCTTAACAAACACATCCTTATGATTTCCTGTGTCCTATGAATTATATGAAATTGAGAAACAATGAGAGTATCCACTTATTACAATCTATAAGAAGTGATATGGTTGTTGCTTCTGACTGTATCCCTAATTTACAGTTTAGGTACAATGTTTTCTTGTGGGAAAACGAAACTTGCAGAGACAGAAAATAAAAAGATATCGGGTCAAACAGTTCAGGCTTTCAATCACATTGTCTCTTTTTTTATAGACGGCTATGGAAGTGATGCAGTTCACCACTGAGGAGGTGCGGGATGTTCTTCGACTTCTTGCTGGCGTTTTGCACCTTGGCAACATTGAATTTATAACTGCTGGTGGAGCACAGGTGTCATACAAAACAGGTGGGAGAAATGGCTACTCATGAGAATAATTTTTTTCCTATCTTTCTATATTAAAATGTGAATTACAATGCGATCTCCATAGCTGCAGCGCTTGTAGCCATTGTTTCAGCTACCCACATCCAACAATATATGTATTTTCTAGAAGTTTTGTAGGATATCTAGGCAATATATCTGCCAGAAATTATTATAAAGACATGGCAATTTTTTTTAGAGGGGATACCTTTCTAGAAATTTTCTATACCTGGGATGACCCATTGTAGCCCGCCCATTGTCATTGTGGTTGCGCCTATTGTAATTTTATATTGTTATGTATTTACATGTTTTATTTTATTATGATGTTGTTGTTTACTGTTTGGGTTTTTGGTTGTGTTTTGGTTTTATTTTATTGTAATTTGTTGTTCGGGCTTGGCCTCACGTAAGCCGCTCTGAGTCCCCACTGGGGAGATGGTGGTGGGGTATAAATAAAGATTATTATTATTATTATTATTATTATTATTATTATTATGACTCTATAGTAACTTTTGGCAGGTGCCATTCATTTCAACAGGGTTTGATATTAGCATGATTTTCTATTTCCATGGTAAATTCAGGAAATGCATACTTGGGTCACAATGTATTGGCAACTTGCAAAATCAGTTTAAAGCCAACAAACTCATTCTTCTTCAAATCCCATATGCAATGTTCATAATTCGCAAAGATTGCCTTTGAAAATAAGGGTATATAATAAACTTGAATATGGCATTGGTTAAGAAATGCACTCAACTGAAAGGAAATAGAATTTGTGAAACATTAGCAGATGTTATGGCTGTCTATCATTTGATTTTTGCCCCATAAGTGACTTTAAGTTTTTGTTGGCATCACAGTTGCTGCTGCTGTACTTTTGGGTATTTACTTGTACTCATTTCTTTCAATTATCATTTTGGTTTGTTGCTAGCTCTGGGTAGAACCGCAGAGTTACTTGGGCTGGACTCAACGCAATTAACTGAAGCATTGACACAGCGATCAATGATACTCAGGGGAGAAGAAATATTAACACCTCTCAGCATACAGCAGGTAACGTCAAATTACTCTGAAGTGGTTAATATATTTTTAATTATTTGTGGAATTCCAGATTTTTATCATGTGATGATATTTGGCTTCTTGACTGTATATAATGAGTCCTCCGCAAATAATCAATTTCTCTTTTATCTCGCCCAAATCTTTAACCAATTTTAATGAGTCTTTCTTTTAATCATTACATGTAGCCTGCCCTCTGTAATTGTGATTGTGTTATTGTAATTTTGTATCATTATTTATTCACATGTTTTACATAATTATGATGTTGTGCTTTGTTTGCATTTTTGGTTTGCGTTTTTGGTCTTATTTTATTGTAATTTTGTTGTTTGGGCTTGGCCTCATGTAAGCCGCTCCGATTCCCCATTGGGGAGATGGTGGTGGGATATAAATAAAGATTATTATTATTATTATTATTATTATTATTGCTTTCTGACTTCTAGAAAAGCATATATTACAGTGGGAGATCAGGCATGACTGAAGAAGCAGCAGCCTTCATTTTCACAAAAGGTGTTAGGCTTGCTTATTACATCCTCAAAGCAACACCACTAAGAGACAAATCAATTTGCAAAGAGGATTTTTCCCATAACAGATGCATCTCTTAGGTGTGGTTCATCTGATTGATGGGGCCTACACTACCATGGTAACTAAACAGTGCAAATGAGGCACTATTCTGTATCCATATTAAAGTGAAAATATGTATGTGTGTGTGGCTGGGGTGCCCACTTTCATGGACAGGTTCCCACTTCTTCAAATAGCTATAACCCTCACCTGTGAGGAGCCAGTAAAGGCCCTCCCTCCAATGACATTGCAGATTATAGCGAGTTCCACGAACAAGTGCCAGTGTCCTCCACAAATATCATACTGCCCGCCACCTGAGTAAAGGCTTTCATACAGGAACAATATCATCCTAGATTTTATGTGTTTCCTCCACCACAGACATCTCAGTGCTTCCGACTTACTCCATTGGTGTGGAATTTCCATTATCCCGCCCACTACCTTTCCCATAACTTTTTCCTACTCTTTTCTGTGGAGCAGAACAAACAAAATGGAATTGATCAACAACTAAACATACTGTAGAGAGCTGGGGAACTGACTCAACCTGATGGAAGTTGTAGTTCACCCTGCATCAAGACTGTGACACCCCCATCAACCACAGACAACCACAAATTGGTTGAGACTCTTTGAGATATTCATTGAAAAACTTGAGCAAAATGTGCTACAGAATGTCCCACAAAAACTTTTCCATGTTTTTATGATAGAACCAATTAGGAAATGACATTTATCACCCAGGAACAAAAGCTGTGGTACATAGTGTTATCTGTCTTCCTTGCCTTTTGAACTTTTACTGCATCGGTAATCCTTAGAATTCTATTCTTTTTCTCAAACCTTTTGTGCAGTGTAGGATACTTCCAAATATTTCAAGTTTTTGGATAAATGTTCAAATATTTGCTAAGGTTACAAAATATAGGTAGAAAATACATTTTCTAACATCTTAATTGAGCAGCAGTTGGAAGGATAGAAGAACCTATGTTAAGAAAACAAATGAAACATTAGTGTACATTTATATATTGCACTATGTTGTCAAGTTCTGTGTCTTGTGTTTGAAGTTGTCCTGCAAGAAGGTCATCAAAAGGGTGTTTCCTGATGAAAATGTATTTCTGTGTTACCTCCTACCAGGCAGTAGATAGCAGAGATTCGGTAGCTATGGCACTTTATTCCCAGTGCTTTGCCTGGGTTATTAAAAAAATCAACAGCAGGATAAAAGGCAAAGATGACTTCAAGTCCATTGGCATTTTAGACATCTTTGGATTTGAGAACTTTGAGGTATGTTCCAAACATTTTTCTTTGCTGATGTTATGATGGTAGGTTTTTAATGTAATTATAATTATCTTTATTTTAGTTTAATTGTAGTTTAACGTTATATCCACACATAAATGTTTTTTTATTATTTTTATATTTGTATTAAATTGTTATAAGATTGTGTGGTTGCCTTGAGTCCCTGTGGGAAGAAAGATGGGATATAAATAAAGATGATGAGGATGATAATGATAATGTTTTGACTTTTGTCTCCTTGTTCTTGCACATTATGAGTCAGATTGTCGTTTACTGAGAGTAATATTTGTTTATGCCTTGTTTTTTTTAGGTTAATCGTTTTGAACAGTTTAATATTAACTATGCAAATGAAAAACTTCAGGAATACTTCAACAAGCACATTTTTTCATTAGAACAATTGGAATATAGTAGGTAAGACTTACAAGATTTGCATGTGCCTGTGTTTCCTGTCATAGTATTAAAAATGTTTTTGTTTTTAATTTTGGTACTCTACTCCTTTAACACATATCAGATTATCATTAAATCTCATTTAACTATTATTTTAAATTATCAGATTTATCCCAAGTTTATCTGTCAATTTACACAGGCAGGTAGTCCTTCTATTGAGGCCAGTGACAACTGAGTTTTTTTCTGTCATTTTTCTTTGAGGTCTCAGTGATTCGCAGATGTGGGTCATTCTGCACCTTGGAAGAAATCTTCAAAAGCTTCTAGCACTGCATTTTGGCAGTAATACCAGCCCCTTCCCACATGCATATAAACCATATGTTCTCACTGAAAACCAATTCCTTTTCATCTACCATTGGCCAGTCTTCTAAAAATGACAAGAAATTAGAATACCATAATTTGCCACATAATATCCACAATTTATATCCCTTTCTTGTCAGAAAAATAAGGTGTGATTGTTATGAGATAAAAAAATGTCTCTGAAAAACAAATCAAATCTGGCTGGGGCTGAGACTCTCCCTCTCTTACCTCCAAAAAGAGAGGACCCCATCAGCTGGTTTATTTGTTTTTTTAGAGATTACCCCAGCAGCCTTTTCTCTTGGTGGGTGTCTTTTCCCTTCTGGCCACCCTGCACATAGGGCTGAGGGAGGGCCATCAAAATGCCTCTTTACCAGTGTACTGGCTGGGCTTTAATCTCTCCTCTTCTGCCTCTGAGCAAAAAAAGCGCCTCTGGAAATGGGAACTGGGCAATAAGCACTTTCTTTTTCTCTGAGGTGGAAGAGGAGCCAGTGCTCTGGCATTTGGGGTAAGGCGGCACCTTGGATGTGCTCCCACCACCAAGGTGCATGCCTACTTCCACGTCACCCCACTAGCCTTGGCCCCTGGGTGCTCCCCACTCACCTCTCAGTAGTAAAAGAGGGAGAGTCACAATGCGATCATTAAGCAAGGAAAGGCTAGAAGCTAACTGTGGGATCTCAAAAGAGGAGTATGAATGCTAAGTGGTGGCTACTATCATGCTGTGAATTAAGTGATAACCTCAGGATTGGTGCAGTGACTAATGTTTTATGTGCCATGTCTTGTCTATTCCGATGTTTTATAGTTTACTGGTTTTAATTCATAGTTATTTGTTATTTTAGATATGTGATATATTTTACATTTTATGTGAGACATTGCATTTTGCCATTTACTTTGCTGTGAACTGCTTTGAGTCCCCATCCCCGTCCCCAGGGTGGGAAAAGTGGCATAGAAATAAATAAATTCAACATCCCTAGAATTAATAAAATCTCTGTCTTTGGCTTTTATAGAGAAGGACTCTTATGGGAAGATATTGACTGGACAGATAACGGGGAGTGTTTGGATCTTATTGAAAAAGTAAGTTACAGCACAAATATTGTATGTATTGGTTTTATTGTTAATGACATCAAAAGGCTTTTCCCTGTAAATTTGAGATGGTGGTGATGATAGAAGAGGGAATGAGACAGCTGTATGTATTTTACAGTGTCGTGAAATCAAAAATATTGCCATACATGTTTTGTTTTATTCATTAAAATGTATTGTCCTTATGGAATGTGGAAGTTTTCTCGGATTGAGCCTTTCTAACACTTTGAAAATAACACTTGTATCCTACTAGAGGACCTATAAAGTAACCTCATTTGAGCCTAGAGTCATACATTATGTCAGAGATATTGCTGCTGACAGTGACAGTATTTGTCCAACTCCACCCTATAGAGATTTCAGAGATTTTCAGGTGCACAGTTTGCAATGTGACATTAATCTGCTATATCATTTTCCACCCCGTCACTGACTACTACAGACAGAGGAAAATGGCAGGACAGTAAATAATTTCATCTCATATGTTGGTAAACACCACAGCAAAAACAAAAAGAGAAAATTGTGTTTTGATGTTAGCCCTACCTTTGCTAAAGCATTTGGTTCATGCAGTCCATTTATATAGCCACTCCACTGTTATGGTTTTCAAAATAAGGCTACTTCACAAACATAAATTGAAACTTGAAACAGTATAAGCTATCTTAACTCTGTATTCTTGTGTCTTGATTTTAGAAACTTGGTTTATTAGCACTTATCAATGAAGAAAGCCATTTCCCTCAAGCTACAGACAGCACTTTGTTGTCAAAGTTACACATCCAACACGGTGTAAGTAATATCCCTATCATATGTATACAGATAAGCCTTACTTGGGGATGGGATAGCATTTCATGTAGTTAGGACATTTCTTTGGACCTGAATTGGACAACTTCCCTAATATGCAGGTTGCAATGCTGCTGTCTATCAGTTTACACAATTCTATGGAATTCAGTCAGCAATAGTTCAGAACATATGTTCAAAAATATTTTATTAAAGCAAATTGTGTAGAAAATGTGTATATTAGGTAAATTTGTATACAAAACGCATGGATTAAAATGCACATTGTATTTTTCCTATTAAAAGCAAGTGCATGTAGATGCAGGAATGTCACAGATGGACTTTGGAAAGCATACGTGTGAATCTGGCATAGACTAGGAATAGACTGAGTCAGTATTCTCTAGCCCTACTAATTAACTTTCAAATATGTACTTGCAAATTGTGCTATTCAAAGTACAAACTATTCATAATTTCAAAGTACGAACTATTCATAGTTTGTACTTTGGAAGACTTGTAATTTCATCCAGTCAAGTAGGCCTTCCTCAGATCACAACTATTTTGTATCCTCATTGTCCTTGTTACTGTGGTTAGAGCTAATGTCCAGTCTATTAGTTGTTGGCCAATTGTATGGTGAGCTTCTGCTCCATGGCACCATCTCTAGAGTAGGACTTTGTAAAAGGAAATGTTCATAGACATTAGAAAATCTTTGCTATGTGGATCAATACAGAGAAAATGAATATGTGGAATTTCAGTATTATAGGATTAATTAACCATAATAATGCTAGAGAAAGGCTTTGTTGGAAGCTGGTTTATTAGCGGTTTCTGACTTAGATTTTGAAATAGTATGTCTTCCTTCCCTCTGCATTCCCATATTGTAACCTAAATAGATTTATCTTTTTTATTCCATTTTATAAACAGAACAATCATTTTTATGTCAAACCAAGAGTTGCTGTACATAACTTCGGAGTGAAACACTATGCTGGGGAGGTAATTTCTCTGTTTTTCATATACACTGAAATTTGGAGCAATAATGTTAAAGTAGTGAGTTTTCTGGGCTGTATGGCCATGTTCCAGAAGTATTCTCTCCTGATGTTTCACCCACATCTGCGGCAGGCATCCTCAGAGGTTGTGAGGTCTATTGGAAACTAGGCAGGTGAGGTTTATATATCTGTGGAATGTCCAGGGTGAGGGAAAGAATTATTGTCTATTTGAAGCAACCTCTAAAGATGGCTGCCATAGATGCGGGCAAAACATCAGGAGAGAATGCTTCTGGAACATGGCCATACAGCCTGGAAAACGCACAGCAACCCAGTGATTCTGGCCACGAAAGCCTTCGACAACACAATGTTAAAGCAGTAGTTCAGTTTTTGCCATGTAGCCACTTGCAAACTAACTGAAGCATTCAGTTTCTTCTCTGTTCTTTACAACAGTAGCTCTGTAGGCTGCTGTTACAAGAAGAGGGGCTGTTTATGAACCCAAGCCTGTTCTGTCTCTTTCTAAATAGGTCCATTATGATGTCAGAGGATTCTTAGAGAAAAACAGGGATACTTTCAGGGATGATCTCCTTAACTTGCTACGGGAAAGCAGGTATGTCATTATTTCATCCATGTCCTTGTTTTTGAAATACGCTAAAAATAGTAGGTTCCAGCCATAATCTGGTACACAGAACAATCTGTATTATCCAGTTCTAAACAGAATACTGGAAGACATTATATGTTGAAAATACTGTATTTAGTGTGGGCTTATCATTCTGTGCAGTCATTTCCTGCCCTAAACTCTGGAATGGCTGATAAGTCTGTGACTGGTGTGGTCGTTCATTTGCACTAATAAATTTATGCTGAAGATCAGTAAAGATTTTCTTCCAACCCATAAAGTCTTTTAAAGACATGGTGCAATTCCATATGCTGTGAGATGCTGGGCATATGAGATAAGTAATTTTGCTCTCGTTAGGGAGGCGCAAATGGACTATCTAATTTAAGAGGTGAGCAAATTTGAAGGTACCAGTTATAGTATGCTGAAACTTGTTCTAATAAATTGTGGACATAGAGGAAGCTGATAACGAGATACTTTATTCTGAGGAATGTGTAAACTCTACATATTTATATTTTTCAGAATGTGTTGTAAAATCACTTGAAGTAAAATTTGAAGGTCTTAACATTCCAGCAGCAACACTTAACTGCAGATAGAGTTCTTAGTAGAAACAATCATTGCCTCAAGTATTACTTGTAAAGTCCTGACGGAGAGTCCATTTTGCAGATAAAATATTGGACTGCTTCCAGAGAATCTGCAGAGCTTGCATGTTGTATTTTGTATCTACATCAGTATTAAACATAGAGGAACATGAAAATGGCATAGAAAATATTCTGCGGCAATTGGGAATGAGAATATACATGGAGACTCTGGCTGATATTTCCCTAATAAGCATTGTTAATTATCCGTTCCCAAATGCAACAGCTTTTCAGAGAAAAGCATATGCCAGACAGTGAATACACACAAACTATTTTGCATAATTTGTAGAATAAGAGAGTATGGTAAAAAGTCCAGTATCACTGAGCATCCATAAATGCGGCATAAGAAGATTAAACAACATCATGAATTTTTCAGAGGGATACTGTTTGGTGTATAATAGAACCATACCTATTAGATTTTGTGGCTGATAGACAAAGCAATCTCAATAAAGTAGTGAAGAGTAGAGACATTACACTGACAATAAAGATCTGCATAGTTAAAGCAGATTCTCTCTAGTAAACTATGGATACAAGAGCTGGACCATAAGGAAGGCTGGGCGAAGAAAGATAGACACTTTTGCACTGTGATGCTGGAGGAAAATTCTGAGAGTGCCTTGGATCGTGAGAAGATCCAACCAGTCCATATTCCAGGAAATAATGCCTGACTAGTCACTGGAGGGAAGGATATTAGAGGCAAAGATGAAGTACTTTGTCCACATCATGAGGAAGACAGGAAAGCTTGGAGAAGACAATGATGCTGGGGAAATAGAAGGAAAAAGGAAGAGGGGCCGACCAAGGGCAAGATGGATGGATGGTATCTTTGAAGTGACTGGCTTGATTTTGAAGAAACTGGGGACTAACAGGGAGGTCTGGCGTGGGCTGGTCCATGAGTTCATGAAGAATCGGAAGTGACTGAACAAATAAACAACAAAAAGACAAATCAGCAGTAGCAGTATTGAAAATAATCAAGTCCTCTTCCAGCTATGTGTAGACAGTATTCAATGTCTGCCCCAAATCTGGACGAATGCTGTTTGCAATGGCCCATTTAACACATGTTTAAATCTAGATATTTTAATTAAGAAATCACCCGCAAAAGCCCTGTGTTTACATATCCATGGGTCAGTGTGAATTCTATACATTAATTTATCCAAAAAGAAACCATCCTTCTCTGAGCAGAGTGGCAAAAGGCAAGAGTTTCACCCATCCAGGAGAACCTAAAAGAAGTACTGACCCCCTCTACTCTCTCTGTTGTATCGCTGCTCCTGGCCTTTTTTAATGCCTGGGTGGGAAATGGCAGTGCTGGCCAGATGCACATGGTCCCCTAAGACAGCATTGGTGCTTCCCCTCTCCAAGGAATGACTCTCAACTTATCCACAGGTCATATCAAAACCCATAACTTTGCCTCCCAAACCTGCCCTCGACATAGACATGAGCATATATGGTACCTCAGGCATGTAGCCGGAGGGGGGGGGGGCCTTGAGCGGCTTCAGCCCCCCCCCCCCCGAAATTCTCATGGTGGTTCGCGAAAAGGCCTTACTGGTGCATTATTTAAACTGTTATGTTTATTCATATCATGATCTGATCACCATACTCAATATATCCCATATGCATGGGGGTATTGGGGTAATGATACAAAAGGTTTGCTGGGGTAGACCCTCTTTCACTCAGACTCAGCCCCCCCCCCGAAACTCAGCCCCCCCGAACCCCCCCTGAAAAAAATTCAGCCCCCCCCCCCGAAACGAAATCCTGATTTCAGGTTTATTATTATTTTGTGTCAAAAGCATTGCATAAATAAGTATAAAACTGATAAAATAAAGGAAGCACAAGTGGCTAAATAATTTTAGACCAAAAACGGGCAACAGTGACCACATTGTCTGTAGCTTTAAACAATTCTTCCTCTGTACATGAGGCAGGGCATAGTGGACAAGCATACAGATACAGAGTTGCTTGTTCTGCTCCACAGTCACACAGAGGATTCTTTTAGGTAGTGCCATTTTGCCAGGTTGTCTTTGGATCTGCCCACTCCACTTCTGAGTCTGTTTAGGGACTCCCAAGTTGCCCATTCTTGGTTTGCCCCTGGAGGCAGATCCTCATAAAGAGCCATACAATTGGGATTTCCTGGTTTAGTTGCCCAGTGGGATACTCAAGCTGTTGCTGGGAGAACATTAAGAGGAGTGGTGATTCTCATGAAGCTTTTCCTTGAGTTGAGTCTACAGGGAGGAGGCTGATAGTCATACAGTGGGTGGCTTTCACAGTGTTCAACCTTATTTCTCTCCCAGTTAGCAGTAACTTCCCATCGCACATCGGAGGGAGGGGAGCAATGGCAGCTAGTTACCCAAAAGCATTGCTATATATCGTACTTTGCCTACTATCATCCCCACTCCGTCAACTGCTGTACAAAATGCACTGGATGATAATAGCCTGGAAGTTTATGATTTTTCCTTGACAAATTAAAATTTAAAAACAAGGCACATATTTCCCGTGTTCATTGTTTTAAAATGCAAATGTGGGTGTGGAAGGTATAACACCCTCTATTGCTGGATTCAGCTTGCAGAGGCTGCAAAAATTAGTCCACCACTCCTTTAACATTTGCAAGTTAAAGTTCAAATGTATTGACAAATGTAAATTGGCATTTTAAAAAACCACAGTGTTTCTCCAGTGGGACATATTAAGAATAATAATATTTTGTGCCCCATTTCTTAATCCAGTGACACCTCCTGGTTAGAGTTTATGATGCATCCTTTACATTTAAATCAACGTAACCTTCTTAACTCCCATTTCAGCCTTGATTTCATATATGACCTCTTTGAACACGTTTCGAGCCGCAGCAGTCAAGACACTTTGAAAGGCGGAAGCAAACATCGAAAACCCACTGTCAGCTTACAATTCAAGGTTAGTTGCTTCTTCTGCTTAGCTCTTCTAGACATTGAGTTGGTAAGGAGATAATTGGTGTCTTAATTTCTGTATGAAATTTTCAACTACAGATAGGAGCCCCTGATGACGCAATAGGTTAAACTCTTGTGCTGGCAGGACTGCTGACCGAAAGGTTGGCGGTTCAAATCTGGGGAGCAGGGTGAGCTCCCGCCTGTCCGCTCCAACTTCCCATGAGAGAAGCCTCCCACAGGATGGTAACATATCCGGGCGCCCCCTGGGCAATATCCTTGCAGATGGCCAATTCTCTCACACCAGTTTCTCAAGTAACTCCTGACACACAAACCCCCCCAAAACTATAGATATAAATCTTTCAGAAAAATAAAGTGTGGCTTTTCTCAGAGGTTTTCTGTCCCACTGAAACTAAATATTTAGTTATTTGTGGCCTTGCAATTTCGTTGACTTTGGGACGCATTAAAATGGTCCATTGATGTAATTTGCTGATCGGGCCACTAGGTGCTGCTACTGTAACTATTAGTAGCAGCTCACTGAGATAAGTTTGAGTTAGAAGTTTAATTCTGTCCCCTCCACACCCTTCTACTTTTTTGTTTTGTTCCAGGATTCACTGCATTCCTTAATGGCAACACTAAGCACGTCTAACCCTTTCTTCGTTCGCTGCATCAAGCCCAACATGCATAAGGTAAGGTTTGAGATTGTTTTTGCCTGGGAGCTTGTTTGTTTGTTTTATGCCATATGTCTTGGGATTGATCTGTTTATCTATATGTGAAATGTCTTCACTGTTCATCATTGTTGCTGGGATCAATGGAGGAATTATTCATATTCTACCCTTTAGAACACTGAATAATTTCAAAGTCAGGCAAGTTTCGGAACTCCAATTCTGTGCAATCTTTTATTGTTGGTTCCTTCACTCCTTTGAGTTCTGTAAAAGTTGTGTACTTTTAATAAAATCTTTTAAGACGACCCAAAGAATTCATAAATATCTGTTTTCATAATGATTAATCATTTTTTTGTGCTTATAGTTTGTTATTATGTATTTATATTGCAGCTCTTCTTCCATTTGGAACTCAAGTTCATTGATTTTGTGAGGCAGACCTAGAACTAGAACCCCACATAGAATTTGCCCAATACTTCGATGCCTCAGGCAAACAGGTTTTTATTTCCTACAATTACAGAAGCTTCCCAGATTGACAATGGATATATTACTATTAGTACTGCCAAAGAGATAATATTCTCCAGAAGTTCCCAGGATGGCTTAGCAGGCCATATGGCAAAGCAGGCCATATGGCACACACAGCTCTGTCTTCCCAAGAAAGAAAAGTGGTTGAGGTTGAGTGTATGGTTTCTGGGCTGTATCACCATATTCTAGAAGCATTTTCTCCTGATGTTTTGCCTGCATCTGTGGCTGGCACCTTCAGAGAATCTCTGTAGAAAAGTGGTTGAGGTACTCAGGGGGAAGAAATAGATTTTGATGGTGGTTGCCTGAGGCAGGTGCCTCCTCTGCCTAATAGCAAGTCTGTCTCTGCAGAGATACATCTCTAAACCTAAACATGAAACTTTCCTCCTGGAAAACAGCCTGAATGTAAGCAGTCAGATCTTTGTGGTTATTAACATAGGCATTTGTTAAAAATACTGCTTCTGCTGATTGCTCTTTAATTTGTTCTAATTCAGGAACACCTAACAGCTTTCAGAAAACACTAAGAAATCTTGAAACTTCATTTGAAATTCCCAGTTTTAGAATATAATCCAGCATTTTAGGACTGGTTTTATCATATTTTATGCACAGCATGCTACATTTATTCTCGGATCATTGATTTCATTCTATAGATACTGGTCACTAAGTTCAAGGAATCACTTCTGAAATGTATGAGTTTCAAAACATGGCCGAACTGAAATAGAAATGCATGACCCTTCATTTCAAGAAGTCATAACTTTCAAACTTGGACAGAATTCAGCTGGAATAGATTTAGTCAAATCAAAAGCACATCAAAGAGTTAAAGCCTGTAAGGATACTGGCACATTTCCAAAAAGTCATAAGAATCATAGGGTGAAGACAGGATGGTTGTTTTTTCAAGCTCTGAGTGGAAACATATTGGTACTATTTCTCAGTTCATGCAAGCTTGGGTGAAGTATCCTATTTCTTAGGGTGGGGTGCATATCTCTGCTATTGACTCTGAAGTTGTCTTAAAGCTTTTTTATATTAAAAAGTATGAAAGCCAATTACAGAAGGAAGAAAAAGATCTCTGGAGGGTATAAGATAAATATATTTATCTATACTCTGCTTTTTAGATTCAGAATGGTCCCTAAAGATAGCTTATGGTCATAAAACATATTTAAAACTCAAATTGACTGATGTATTAAGATGTAGATTTCAGAAGATAAAGTTAAAGGTTTCCCCTGACATTAAGTCTAGTTGTGTCCAACTCTGGAGGGTGGTGCTAATCTCCATTTCTAAGCTGAAGAGCCAGTGTTGTCCATAGACGCCTCCAAGGTCATGTGACCAGCATACTGTGTAGAGTGCCATTACCTTCCCATCAGAGCGGTACCTATTGATCTACTCACATTTGCATGTTTTCGAACTGCTGGGTTGGCAGAAGCTGCGGCTAACAATGGGAGCTCACCTTGCTCCCCAAATTCAAACTGCCAACCTTTTGGTCAGCAAGTTCAGCAGCTCAGCAGTTTAGCCCACTGCATCACCGAATTAACACACAAAATATTCAACAAAATATTCAACATTGTCCGGAAAGCATTAGGAGAAGGAACCATAGTGTATGTTATATTCCATGATTCTTCCAGAATCTGTCGTGCATGTCAAGTGTAAGTTCTTCCAGGGGTGAATTGGCAAACCAGCCTTAAAACTTGCATTTTCTTTAGTTAATGCAGGCCCGTAGCCAGGATTTTGATTCCGGGGGGCTGAGTCTGAGTGAAAGAGGGTCTACCCTAGCAAACCTTTTGTATCAATACCCCAATACCCCCATGCATATGGGATATATTGAGTATGGTGATCAGATCATGATATGAATAAACATGACAGTTTAAATAATGCACCAGTAAGGCCTTTTCGCGAACCACCATGAGAATTTCGTCCGTCCCCCCGTCCCCCCCGGCTACATGTCTGAGTTAATGTTGAATATATCTCATGATGTGTTTGATTTTGCTTGATAAAATAGCTCCAATTTAAAGCACAATTTACTATTCAGAAAAGCAGTTGTAAAGAGAATGGGAGGTTGTTGCATACTTCACTTTGACATACATTTTCTTGCATTCACTTGCACACACATTAAATATAGGCTGTGCCAACATTTGAAGTCTGGAGATTACTTTGTGGCCAAAGATAAAGAACACATACAAGGTGAGGCAGCATAACTTCCTTTTTTCAAAACTTAATAAAACCCATGCCTAAAGTTTTGTTTTACGTAGTTTTGTAGATCAAATTAGGTAGGTGACGTCCCCCGATTTCTGGCGTTTGTCATGACTCTTGCCAGCATATTAGGTGTTATGTTGGCAGTTTCTTCCTGGATGTTGGTCTTCAAATCTTGTAGGGTCCTTGGATGGTTCACATAAACACGGGATTTCAAAAAAAAAAAAAACCATAGAAAAAAATCACAAGGGGCCAAATCTGGAGTGCGGACCGGCCACTCCAAATCCGCTCGAAAAGTAGGCCTCAATGGCAAAAGCACGCTCCTCACTGTTCCAACGCATGATGGCGACTGAACTGTGTCAGGACAAAACTTTATACTCCCACCTCTCGAACGAGACCACAAGCACTCTGCTACGTCTTCAACCGACTGAATGGCGTGCATTTTAAAAAAGGAAATTATGCTGCCTCACCCTGTATGTATCCTCAAAAACAAATTAACATTTTCTAATATTTTTTTAAAGGCTCACCCTGTACCTTTCTAAAAGAGAATGTGAGCACTTAGAAAACAGAGACTATCTGTATTAAATAGAGAAAAGGGAATGTTTTTGACTATGCCACCATTGACTGTGTGACAATGGGTGAATAAGCAGGACTTATGAACATATGGCTCATTTTGCAATTCTAACACACAGTGGGATAGAGGAGGTAGAAACTGGAGGCTCATTCCTGCTTCCTGGCACCTAGGCATTCAGCTGTGAACCATCCCAAAATGTAGCTATAACACATGTTTCTCTATGTATCTCGGTGCCAGTTCAGGCTGCCTTCACTATAGGAGAAGCTTTCACAGGGTGCATGGTTTGGCAGAGACTTGGTAACAGGTGCAAGGTTTAATTGGATGGGAGCCATAGTGGGACGAGACATTCATCTGAGCAGCTCACACACTCAGGAGAAAATAGCTATAGATTAGGAATGAAGTCATCTTGGACAGATCAGAATTTGATTTAAACTTTGAGATTTGGCTCAAGTTAGTAAACTCCTTTTCATAATGGGAAGAACGTTGTGTGTCTGGGTCTGCAAAAATGTGGGGAGGAAGAAGCTTGAATAATTGTCTAGACAAGGCCTGAGCAGTGACATTGTTGTCCTTCTCCTGTGTAACCAGTAGCCTTTTCACTAGCTTCAGGGTCCATTGCCCAACCCACCCATCCACCTTTTCCCAAGAAATGTGTTGCCTGAGAAGTGTGTGAATGTCCCAAAAGGTTTTGTGTTTTATGAGAATCCCCCCAGATCCTTTTACCCGCCCATGGGAGGTCCCCCCGCCCAGGGGAACATTAACAAGAAATCTTTTTTCTCATCTTTTTCCTCAAAAGCCAGTAACGAAGGAACATTTTTTTTTGAATTGAAAAAGTAATGCCCCCTCCAACACCTTCATAACCTCCCCCCTTCAAAACAAAGATGGCCATTTAAACCTGGGTTGGCGGTCAGGTACTTGGCTTGTTTTTTTCGAAGTAGACTCTTCCCTCTAACAGTTTGTTTCCACTTTTTTTGGGCCCTTGTTAAAGTGCAGAAGTATGGAACCCGTGACAGACGGTCGGTCAATGTGACTTAAGGAATGCAGTCATTGAATTCTTGACAGCAGAAGGTGCCACCCCAAAGGAGATTCATCAGAGAATGCATGCTGTTTATGGTGATTGTGTTGGTGTGAGTACTGTGCATCATTGGGCGAGTAAGTTTAAAGATGTTGAGGTGGGAACATCTGACTTGTGTGATAAACAAAGAGTTGGACATCCTGTGACAGCAACCACCGAGTTTCACAAGCAAAAGGTTGACAGATTGATTCAGGATGATCGTCGTATCACTCAGAGAAATATCAAGCATAATCGGCATTTCACAAGAATACATAGCAGAAAGTTGCATCTCATGGACGAAAATCACTATAAACATTCAAAGGGAAAAATAAGATCTGACTGTAATTCGTTTGGCACTATCCTTTTAGCCCTATTGAAAAGGAGACAGCACTACTGAAATTCAGAAGAGTCAGGCTTAAAATCAAATGCTTGTAGTACAAGCGATTTTATTTTCAAGCAAAGTAAATGTTTTAGCGTCTGCCCTATGCCCTCTAGCTAGCAAAACTAAGTTGCCCTAAAGTTCTAGGATTGTGGATTAAATTCTGATCTCGTTCTCCATGTTGACATGGTAACCACTCAGGGAGATATGCAGGCCCTCAATGAATAGCTTGCTAATGAAGCACAACTAGAGGGCAGTTTATTCTCCTCCGAGCAAAAATATTTAGAGTTCTTCACTCCCAGGCTAGACTTTGTTTC